CAATGAATATTCAGGACTGATTTCCTTTAGGATTGAGTGGTTGGATCTCCTTGCAGTCCAAGGGACTCTCAAGCGTCTTCTCCAACACCACAGTTCAAAAGCATCAATTCTTCAGCTCCCAGCTTTCTTTATAGTGCAACTCTCACATCCGTACATGTCTGCTGGGAAAATCATAATTTGACTGGAAGGATCTTTGTTGGTAAAGTAATGTCTCTGCTTTTTAATATGCTGTCTAGGTTTGTCATAGCTTTTCTTCCAAGTAGAAAACATCTTTTAATTTCATGGCTTCAATCATCATCTGCAGTGATTTGGGAGCCCCAAAAAATAAAGTCTGTCACTGTTTCCATTGTTTCCCCATCTATTTGCCATGAAATGATGGGACCAGATGCCATGATCTTAGTTTTCTGAATCTTGAGTTTTAAGCCAAGTTTTCCACTCTCTCTTTCACTTTCATTAAGAGGCTCTTTAGTTCTTCGCTTTCTGCCATAAGGGTGGTGTCATCTGCGTATCTTAGGTTATTGATATTTCTCCCAGCAATATTGATTCCAGCTTGTGCTTCATCCAGCCTGGCATTTTGCATGATGTACTCTGCATATACATTAAATAAGCAGGGTGACAATATACAGCCTTGACGTACTCCTTTCCTGATTTGGAACCAGTCTGTTGTTCCATGTCCAGTTCTAACTGTTGCTTCCTGACCTGCATACAGGTTTCTCAGGAGGCAGATCAGGTGGTCCGGTATTCCCATCTCTTTAAGAATTTTCCACAATTGTGATTCACACAGTCAAAGGCTTTGGCGTAATCAACAAAGCAGAAGTAGCTATTTTTCTGGAACTCTCTTGCTTTTTCAGTGATCCAGCAGATGTTGGCAATCTGATCTCTGGTTCCTCTGCCTTTTCTAAATTCAGCTTGAACATCTGGAAGTTCACAGTTCAGGTACTGTTGAAGCCTGGCTTGGATAATTTTGAGCATTACTTTTTTTCTTCTTCTTCTTTTTCAATCAGTTGGAGGCTAATTACTTTACAATATCGTAGTGGTTTTTGCCTTACATTGACATGAATCAGCCATGGATTTATATGTGTTCCCCATCCCGATCCCCCCTCCCACCTCCCTCCTCATCCCATCCCTCTGGGTCTTCCTAGTTTACCAGCTCTGAGCACTTGTCTTATGCATCCAACCTGGGCTGGCGATCTGTTTACTGGCGTGTGAGACGAGTGCAATTGTGTGGTAGTTTGAGCATTCTTTGGTATTGCCTTTCTTTGGGATTGGAATGAAAACTGACCTTTCCCGGTCCTATGGCCACTGCTAAATTTTCCAAATTTGCTGGCATATTGAGTGCAGCACTTTCACAGTATCATCTTTCAGGATTTGAAATAGCTCTACTGGAATTCCATCACCTCCACAAGCTTTGTTCATAGTGATACTTCCTAAGGCCCACTTGACTTCACATTCCAGGATGTCTGGCTCTAGGTGAGTGATCACACCAACATGGTTATCTGGGTCATGAAGATCTTTTTTGTGCAGTTCTTCTATGTATTCTTGCCACCTCTTCTTAATATCTTCTGCTTCTGTTAGACCCATACCATTTCTGTCCATTATTGTGCTCATCTTTGCATGAAATGTTCCCTTGGTATCTCTAATTTTCTTGAAGAGATCTCTAGTCTTTCCCTTTCTATTGTTTTCCTCTATATCTTTGCATTAATTGCAGAGGAAGGCTTTCTTATCTCTCCTTGCTTTTCTTTGGAACTCTGCATTCAGATGGGTATATCTTTCCTTTTCTCCTTTGCCTTTATCTTCTCTTTTCTCTTCCTTTGTAAGGCGTTGTATGACAACCATTTTGCCTTTTTGCATTTCTTTTTCTTGAGCATGGCATCAAAAAAATCAAGCAGTCATCTCACTGTTGCTTTTCCATGAAAGAAAGTTGTTTTTTTTTAATGACCCCCTTCCCTGTTGACCAAGACAATTTCTAGAGATTGCAATTATTCCTGCCCCCACCCCTTCCATTGAAACATTCATGTCTGGGGCCTGTTGTGCAAGCTGCAGCAACCTCCTGTGGAGGGGACAAAGCCCTTGCTCTTGGCCAAATAACTCATTTTGGCCACTGGCAGGTGAGCAGAAGGAGTCTGTGCCACATCTGAGTAGAAGCTGCCAACACCATAGCAAGATTGTGCCAAATGCTGTTTTCTCTCTGCAGTAAGGCAGGGGGTCGGGCTGTGTATTAGTCTTGGTGCTGCTTGAATGAATGCCTGGAGCACAAAGGAAAGAAAGCCAGATGGCCTAGGGCCAGATCAAGAAACTAACCCTAGTTGTTACTCATTGAAACGTGGCTGTTGCTTATGTCCACAAAATAACCTATTAGAAGCTAACACACACACAGTGTGTGGGTGAGTGTGTTGGGACACCTAAGGCTTATTGATGTATTTGCATGATACAGCACTGGGTTTTCATTCAATAGAAGACCCTACAAGTTGGTCTGTAGTAGATGTTAGAGTCATGCACAGTTGGTGGGCAGTCAGTGATTCAACTAGTTTATCATTCCAGCTCCATCACTTGAAAAAAATACAGATATTTCATCTCATAGATTCAAAAGACAATGACTGCTTTGAAGGAATTAATAGTAGTTTAAAAAAATGATAGGCTTCCCAGGTGGCTCAGTGGTAAAAAATCCATCTGCCAATGCAGGAGACACTGGTTCAATCCGTGGGTCAGGAAGCTCCCCTAGAGTGGGCAATCGACTAATATTCTTGCCTGGAAAATCCCATGGACAGAGGATCCTGGAAGGCTGCAGTTGAACACAAACATGACTGAGCATGCATGCATGTCATGTGACGATGGCTGGAATACATTGTATCTTATTTGGAAAGAAAAACAGAAAATGTAAAAATGACATAAAATGAAAAACACAATTCCTGCAACCAAAAATGAAGGTTAATATTTAAGAATATTTCTTGCCACTCTTTACCATCTTTATTCAATGTTTGAATATATACAGATACACTTTAATGTAATGCTTTTATAAACTTTTATTCTATCCCATGAATTTTCATGTTCTATTAACACTTAAATTGTTATTTTTAAAGACTGTCAGTATATTTTTTTAAATAGTCTGCCAAGAATATTACAAGTCAGTCAGTCAGTCAGTTCAGTCACTCAGTCGTGTCCGACTCTGTGAGACCGATCCCGTGAATTGCAGCACTCCAGGCCTCCCTGTACATCACCAACTCCCGGAGTTTACTCAAACTCATGCCCATGGAGTCGGTGATGCCATCCAGCCATCTCATCCTCTGTCGTCCCCTTCTCCTCCTGCCCCCAATCCCTCCCAGCATCAGGGTCTTTTCCAATGAGTCAACTCTTCACATGAGGTGGCCAAAGTATTGGAGTTTCAGCTTCAGCATCAGTCCTTCCAGTGAACACCCAGGACTGATCTCCTTTAGGATGGACTGGTTGGATCTCCTTGCAGTCCAAGGGACTCTCAAGAGTCTTCTCCAACACCACAGTTCAAAAACATCAATTTTTTGGCGTTCAGCTTCTTCACAGTCCAACTTCTCACATCCATACATGACCACTGGAAAAACCATAGCCTTGACCAGATGGACCTTTGTTGGCAAAGTAATGTCTCTGCTTTTTAATATGCTATCTAGGTTGGTCATAACTTTCCTTCCAAGTAAGTGTCTTTTAATTTCATGGCTGCAATCACCACCTACAGTGATTTTGGAGCCCCCAAAAATAAAGTCTGACACTGTTTCCACTGTCTCCCCATCTATTTCCCATGAAGTGATGGGACCAGATGCCATGATCTTAGTTTTCTGAATGTTAAGCTTCAAGCCAACTTTTTCACTCTCCTCTTTCACTTTCATCAAGAGGCTTTTCAGTTCCTCTTCACTTTTTTGCCATAAGGGTGGTGTCATCTGCATATCTGAGGTTATTGATATTTCTCCCAGCAATCTTGATTCCAGCTTTTGCTTCTTCCAGCCTAGTGTTTCTCATGATGTACTCTGCATATAAGTTAAATAAGCAAGGCGACAATATACAGCCTTGATGTGCTCCTTTTCCTATTTGGAACCAATCTGTTGTTCCATGTCCAGTTCTAACTGTTGCTTCCTGACCTGTATACAGATTTCTCAAGAGGCAGGTCAGGTGGTCTGGTATTCCCATCTCTTTCAGAATTTTCCACAGTTTATTGTGATCCACACAGTCGAAGGCTCTGGCGTAGTCAATAAAGCAGAAATAGATGTATTTCTGGACCTCTCTTGCTTTTTTGATGATCCAGAGGATATTGGCAATTTGAACTATGGTTCCTCTGCCTTTTCTAAAACCAGCTTGAACATCTGGAAGTTCTCGGTTCATGTATTGCTGAAGCCTGGCTTGGAGAATTTTGAGCATTACTTTACTAGCGTGTGAGATGAGTGCAATTGTGCGGTAGTTTGAGCATTCTTTGGGATTGCCTTTCTTAGGCATTGGAATGAAAACAGACCTTTTCCAGTCCCGTGGCCACTGCTGAGGTTTCCAAATTTGCTGGCATATTGAGTGCAGCACTTTCACAGCATCATCTTTTATGATTTGAAATAGCTCAACTGGAATTCCATCACATCCACTAGCTTTGTTTGTAGTGATGCTTCCTTGGGGGCCCCGGGTGCGGCCTTCGGGGACGGGGCGCCGCGAGGGCGCGTCCGGGAGCTCGGGGGGCTACGGGGTCGAGTGGCTGCGGTGTCCGTCCCGGGCTCCGGCGGCGGCTGAGTTTGGGGGAGAGCGAGCTTGCTCCCTGGGAGGCGGCGGGGTGGAGACGGGGGCATTTTGGTTACTAATTTTCTCTCAGGTTGAGGAGACAAGACCTGGAAAAAAAAAATGGTGTTTTGGATTTGAGGATCTGGAATATCCTATGATTCCTCATGTGCGTTAACTCATTGGGCCTTAATGTCCGAAGATGAGTCTCTCTCATAGCGTTTAACTGTTAATTATGGCTTTATCTTGATCAATTTAAATTTCTTCTCTCTCTGTAGGTAGATGTGTCAATGTTATTTTTAAAGTTCCTGGCCGGGGTGTCATTCTGAGAAAACGCCTGTTTGCCTCAGCTGAACTTAGTCTCCCATCGTTTCCTCTGGTCTGAGTTTTGATCTGCTTCGGTGCCCCTTCTGACCTTCTTTTGTCCTGATGGTGAGAGCAGGGCTCCCAGCTCTTCGCAGTTTCCATTCCAGGCTCTCTGTTGAGATCCCTGCTCTGTTCCTGCCAGGTGGAGGTAGTGTCTGGGATCTCCATTCAGTCTCTGTTGACAGCCCATGGTGGGCGGGACCCCTCCTTACCGTGGTGGGAGTGTGGGTTCCAGCTCCCCATTTCCTATTAATAAGGTTTGCGAAATGTTTATTCATCCATAACCCTGGCCACCCACCAGGGGATACACCTTCAGTTGGCAAATTTAAAAACTACATACTCTTTTACTCTCAAGCAGGTAAAAGCCTGGAACATCAGAAATGGAAATGTGCATTTTTATAAATATGTATAAATGGTTGAAATGTGTACTAAAATTGTATGCATGATTATACTGCAAGACTGCAAATATGTTCCTTAATGTTTAGTTAAAAAACAGCTTTTATATCACAAAAGAATAAAGGTGAATAAATATGATAGGGTTTAATTTAAAATTATAGCATGATTCATTATAGTCTATTCATATTAAAAATGTCCATAAAATATATTTACATTTAACACATACTGAAAACCTATGATGATATTAAAGATTCGATTCATTATTCAACATTTCATTTAAGAACATATTAATATAAAATTTGATGATTTAAGAAAATATAATCTTGATAAGGATTATAAAGAACAATTTACTAATAAAAATGAAAATAAACATAACAATCAAGGGTCAGAATTAGAAATGATGTTACTGAAGTACAGATATGTTTGTTGAAAAAACATCTTTCCCATTTCTTAAACTTGTAAGAAGTAGACATTGTCACTATAATCCATTAAAATAGTTTACCTCCTTATCCAGGATCTTTATTTCACTATATATTAGTTATGATCATGGAAAACACATTTTCTAATTCAATAATTTTAAAGCTATTGGTCTCTTTACCACAAGTGTGATGGCAAGTGGAAATTTTGACTGAAAGTACCAATATGTTGCTCTTAAGTCTGCACTTAAACTTAAGACCTGGAAACAGTTCAACCTCGCTTCAATTTATGCCATCTCCCTTCCTTCCCATTCCAATCACAAGGCAGTTTCACAGTCTAAGGGAGGATTAATATTGGTGTCAGTAGGTAAATAATTATGATATAAGAAATAGTGAATTAATGTGTTCTACTTATATAATTCCTCACCTCAATTTATGTTTCATTCAACCCCTGGCTTCAAATACATTGGTGGTTCATGGCCAAGGATTTTGAAGAAACAAAATGTGATGGCTTTAAAGGACTAAGCTTGCAAACTACAAATAGTAATTTTTTTCTTCTATACAATTCTTCAGTTAATTAAGTCCTAGATAAGAGGTTTTACTGAAAAAAACTCATCATAAGGGAAATTATGCCACATTGTAACACAAAGAAGAAGCGGAATGAATGAAAAAGTATAGACATTCAATTTCTTAATCTTAGATTGGGCTTCGCTAGTGGCTCAGACAATAAAGAATCTGCCTGCAATGTGGGAGACCCATGTCCCATCCCTGGGTTGGATAGATCCCCTGGAAAAAGGAATGGCTACCCACTCCAGTATTCTTCCCTGGAGAAGTCCATGGATGGAAGAGCCTGACGGGCTGCAGTCCATGGGGTTTGGAAAGAGTTGGACACCACAGAGTGATTATGAATAAATGTAAAACGTCTAAACTGGATGGGACAAGACCTAGAGTTCAGTTGCTCAGTGGTGTCCTACTCTTTGAGACCCCATGGACTGCAGCACACAAGGCTTTCCTATCCATCACCAACTCCCAGAGCTTGTTCAAACCCATGCCCAATGCCTGGGTGATGCCATCCAACCACCTCATCCTCTGTCCACACTTTCTGTCTTCAATCTGTCCCGGCATCAGGGTATTTTCCAGTGAGTCAGTTCTCCGCATCAGGTGGCCAAAGTATTGGAGCTGCAGCTTCAGCATCAGTCCTTCCAATGAATATTCAGAGTTGATTGACTGGTTTGATCTCGCTGTTCAAGGGACTCTCAAGAGTCTTCTCCAACAACACAGTTCAAAAGCATCAATTCGTTGGTGCTCAGCTTTCTTTAAGGTTGAACTCTCACATCCACACATGACTACTGGAAAACCATAGCCTTCACTTTATGGACCGTGTTTGGTAAAGTGATGTCTCTGCTTTTTAATACACTGTCTAGGTTTGTCATAGCTGTTCTTTCAGGAGAAAGTATCTTAATTTCATGGCTGCAGTCACTGTCTGCAGTCATTTTGGAGCCCTCCAAAATAAAGTCTCATTGTTTCCATTGTTTCTCCATCTCTTTGTTATGGAGTGATGAGACTGGATGCCATTCAGTTCAGTTCAGTTTAGTTACTCAGTCATGTCCAACTCTTTGCTACCCCATGGACTGCAGCACACCAGGCCTCCCTGTCCATCACCAACTCCCAGAGTTTACTCAAACTCATGCTCATTGAGTCAGTGATGCCATCCAACCATCTCATCCTCAGTCCATTCCTTCTCCTCCTGCCCTCAATCTTTCCCAGCATCAGGGTCTTTTCAAATGAATCAGCTCTTTCCATCAGGTGGCCAAACTACTGGAGTTTCAGCTTCAGCATCAGTCCTTCCAATGAATATTCGGGACTGATTTCCTTTATGATGGACTGCTTGGATCTCCTTGCAGTCCAAGGAACTCTCAAGAGTCTTCTCCAACAACACAGTTCAAAAGCATCAATTCTCCGGCGCTCAGCTTTCCTTATAGTCCAATTCTCACATCCATATATGACTACTGGAAAAACCATAGACTTGACTAGACGGACCTTTGTTGGCAAAGTAATATCTCTGCTTTTTAACATGCTGTCTAAGTTGGTCATTATCGTAATGATAATTTCAGATACCATTATCTTAATTTTTTGAATGCCGAGTTTTAAGCTGGTATTTTTGTTTGTTTGTTTGTTTTACTCTCCTCTTTCACCTTTAGTTCTTTTTTGCTTTTTGCCATGACAGTGGTGCTGCAGTAGAAATTACTAGGCACTCAGTTTACAACTCTGAAACCTCAGTTTTGTTTTCAGTAAACATCCTGGTCCATTGTCCTGAATTCCTGGAATGTGTCTTTAGTCTGATAAATTATCAGCACTTAGATCCAGAGAAGAGAGCAGCAATTAAACTCTGTTCCATGTGCTTGAGGGAAAAAGAACTGGTGATCATTAATCTTAAATCCATGCATTTGGCCCATGGTAAAATGGACAGAGGGCATGAAAAAGGGGGGTGACTTAATCCAAGGATCAAAAGAAGTAATAAAGATGATGTTAAGTATCTTGACCTTTAAATTGAATGTTTAGAAATAATGCGATTTAAAGGAAGGGTATCAAAACCACCTTGGGGTGACTCTTTACCCCCTCTCTATGCTGAGAGCTTTGCACTTTCCTCCTCTTTAATAAATGTTATTCACTTACTACCATGAGTGTTTGCATGTTCATGGATTCCATTTTTTGCCTGCGTGGACAAGAACTCAGATTCCTGTCTCATCTTTTGGGGGCTCGTCTGGAAATCCTGAATACCTACTCAAGGTAAGCACAGACACTCACTCTCAACTCTGTCATTCACTTCTCATTACCTCATCTAGCTGTGTGGTCTCTTGAGCCACTCTGTTTCACAAGCCTGCACGAGTCCTAAAGGCAGACAGAGTCAGTAGACAGTGGCCTCAGGTCTCGGTATTAGCCAGCAGATTGGCGGGGGTGCTGAGCAAAATCTCTGCTAAGCTGCTGCTTCAGTGAGAACCACAGGACATCTACCATTTCTCTTTCCTAACATTTAGAGGTTATGAGATTTTTTCACTTAAGGTAGGATCATTTTGGAGTTTGTGTAAATACTACTAACCTTGTGCACTACATAGCTTGCTTTAGGGGAACTCCAGTTCAGGCACACCCAATGTTCAAGAGCACAGCGAGTCCACCAACCTAGGCTCTCACTCTAGGAAGATAAGAGATAGGAAGAGGACAACAGTCAAGGGTAACTGGATAATGATGATGAAGACCAGGTACACTCCAAAGTTGAGGGAAGCATACTTTATTGGTATTTCTTTGCTCCCACTGTACAAGGTGGGGACACCCTCTATTAGAAGAATCAGAGAAAAGACAAAGAGCACTGGGTGCTGGTCTTCTGTCTTTCAGATGGGAGCAACCTCTTCATGCCCTACACCCAGCTCAAAGCGGATGCCTTTGGCAAGTATACTGAAGAACTAGAAGTTTAACCCTTAGACCGTGGTAAAGAAGAGTATGATCTTTTTCTGCACCAAGGCATAGCCTCAGTAGGATCTATCTGATGGTGAAAAATGGCCCGCTGAGGGCTCATTTGGTTATAATACCATCCTCCAACTAGACCTATTTTGTAGACAAGAAGGAAAATGGTCAGAAGTGCCATATATACAGGTTTTTGTCTTGAGAGAGAAAACCCTCTAATCCAGGAGTTGTGGGCTTGCTACTTCCATGGTGCCTATAACTTCCTCCAAGTCCTCAGGTCCAAACTGTCGCCCTTAACCAGAGCTGCCCAAACCTGGCCCACAGGAGCTTCCACAATCTCTGGTAATGCCTTGGGCACCAGCAGCAGCTCCTACCCCAGTGTCTCCTAACCCAACACTGGTGATCTCTAGGCTATATCCTTCCCTCCTTCCATTACAAGAAGCTCCTAATGGGGACTTGGGAGCCACAGGAGTCCACATTCCTTTCCCCCTCTGAGATTTAAGGCAAATTAAATTAGACCTAGAAAGCTTTACTGAAGATCCTGACAATTATATAAGTGTTTTCCAGGGTCTAAGCCAATCTTTGAAATGGCATGAAAGATATTATGCTAATCCTGACTAGCACCCTTACTGACAATGAAATAAGTCATAATTAAAAATGCCCAGGGATGGGGAGATGAATGGTATGCT